TTCACTGTCCGACCCATAACTTTTTAACAAGAAATCAGTTAGGCGTCGCACGCGAGACTCGAAATAAAAATTGCGAGGACGCTATGCCTTTCTCATATTGACTAGCAATGCAAGCATATGCACACAGTCGCAGTGATGGAGTACTATGTGGTACCCATAATCACGTGATCCTCGATGATCTCAAAGGTCGCATTCGACACTCAAGTGTCGACTCCCATGCGCGTTGAGGGGTTAATCTCTCGATGCTAGACAACCGCCAAGGTGGTTGATCACCACTTCTGTACCCTGTGGAGAGTGGGTGGTACACAGGTTCCAGCCTGTGGTGGCAGTCAGCTCTCGTGGATTTGGAGACAAGATTCATCATCCTGAGCCTAGAGAGAAATCAAGGTGCTTTACTTTGACGGCTGCCACAGACTACGTCCAACCATAACAGTTATTAAAAAGCCAAAGATAAAAGAGAATCTCTTTTTTCTCTCAAGACATAGTCTGTTTAACTCTCGTGCACGGTCGCAGCAAGCCGTACAGATACTCAAGGTATATATATGTGTGTGTGTGTGTGTGTGTGTGTGTGTGTGTGTGTGTGTGTGTGTGTGTGTGTGTGATTGTATATATATACGTATATGAGGGGTTATATAAAATATGTGACGATCACTTTTCACTATCACTGTGGGACTCCCTTCAGCCAATATAGTTATGCTAAACAAAAGGGTAGCCCAAACAATCAAACAGAAGTTTATGTGGTATCAGACGATCACTCTTACGATAGTAATGTGGTTTGTCTATCAGCATCAAACAATACTCAGACTACCATCAAACTCAATCCAGAGATCTTATACGCATACATGCGATCACACAAAGTTCAAACAACAACATCACATACACTAAGGGAGTCAACTTTACGGCGTTCTGCGACTCACACCCAGCCCAAACCATTTTCCATCATCCCTGAATAAAGATACTCAGTTTTTAAAAATGACCACTTAGAAAGAAATCTGGGTGAAAATCTCAAGAAAACATAAAAACTCACAAGAGTCAAGGCCTTAGGTTGAGATGCAGAAGCAGGGAAGTTATGTCGTAAACCAACCCGTTATCAAGGGATAACAAAAGAATGATCCTTCGTATGATCAGGCCGAACGAATCAAGCCTTCAATCGAATTCGTTGACTTGTACCACAGTTCAGGCCAAAGGGGACCAAATACTATGTTCAAGACAGATGGAGGGCAAACACCACTCCATAACCTAACTCCTTTACTAACGTTTACCTCACCTCCCTCATAAGTCATCGAGAAACTTTGGCACCACCTTGCTAAAGTTTTCCTTAGCAGAAAATAATCTAACTCTCCGAATTCTAGAAAATTTCGGCAGCGCTTCCTGTAGGAAAAATGTTTTTTGAGAATTTTTATAATCTAACTCTTTCAGATTTGTAAACATTTCGGCAACCCTTCCCGTGGGAAAAGAAGACTGTCAATATTTATACAAAGTTGAAAATACAAAGACAAAGTTCAACTATACTTGGGATCAACTTCTGACACTTACTTGATAGTTCGAATTGGAGATGGTCGACACGATCCCTCTCTGAAGATGGTACCGTGAGTCTGCACCAGTCCTAACTTTTAGTAAGGTCCGTCCTATCTTTATCCCAAACTTCCTTCCCATCATTGATTTTACCAACCTATGGCTCCACCACTCAACGAACATCTAAGCAACTAAAGCTGCAAAGAGATGCCGCAAATGAGTGTCTGCATACATGCATAAACAAACATCCCTCTCAGTCCCACATTCACTTTGACCAAGTAGTTCGTTAATCTCTCAGTTCTTTTAACCCTTAATAACCCCCCTTCCTTATGTCATAGGATCGGACCACCCCAACTTAGGGGTAAGCTTGACCTACCTAAGCAAGAGACTAGGGTACGCACAACTAGACTGCCCCAACTTAGGGGTATGCCTAGCTTACATGACTAAAACGTATGTCCAGACTGCCCCAACTTAGGGGTATGACTGGCCCAATATAAACTATGAACATAAAGCATATGACCAGACTGCCCCAACTTAGGGGTACGCCTGGCCTCTGTTTAACTGACGGCATGAGGCATAAGGTTTCTGCTTAAAAGAACGTACGATACTTTCTTAAATGGCTTGGAGTCTGTATCGGCTATAGTACCACGCTTCCACCCATGTTACCGCCTCCACGAAAATTTTGCCTTCTGTTACTCTTAAGCGGGCGGCTGTTGGCCCACACCATATCTCATCGTTCACATCAGGTATAGAACCTACCTTAGGGACTACTCACCAGCTCCTATTGTCTACCGCGTGGGCTCGGGGAACACAACCCTAAGGTAGCCAAACCAATGAGACTAAGTGTGCGCACGAGAGGGAGAGGGGGAGAGAGAAGCAGAGCGAGAGAGAGAGAGAGAGAGAGAGAGAGAGAGAGAGAGAGAGAGA